GTGTGAACATTTAATGAGATGTGATACAATTGTTGCCTGTTATGTGAAAATCTCGCGAAAAATCTATCCATTAGTCAGCCATTCCTCCATTTCAACCATAGTAAAACAAGTTAGATGGCGGTCAACTGGCGGGCCATCCTGTTCATTATTTGAAATTTTTGCTTAAAAACTTGCTACTGACATTCAACCACTATGACCGCATGGAGGTGAATAAAAAAAAACAAACCTAAGATTGTTTTTATTCAGTTTGCTGATTGACCATCCATTTAGGGGCACGTATCTGCAATAGTTTCACCGGTCTCCAACGACACCAGAACTACACTACCCAGATTCATTGATTCACTACTATTTATCTAACAGTTGCCATTATATTTTCTATCAAATTTCCCTTATTACCCCTTAATTACTGTTTTCCTCCCTAACTTTACTCCTAATTATTCCCCTTCTTACTATTTCTCTTTCATTTTTACTCTCCTACTACTCACGAATTCCTTACTCTTTTCCCTTATACTCTCTCCCCCTCCTATTAACTATTTCTCTACTCCCCTACTATTCCTGATCTCTCCCGACGGATTCACCGTTACTCTTTCCACCTACTAATCCCTATGCTTGATTTCTTCCTATTATTTTATATTTCTCCCCTATTTCTCCCCCCCCAATGTGTCTCCTTACTACTCACCTTACGCATTTCCTACTCTTTCATTTAATCTCTCTTACTCTTACCGCCCACTATTATCCTATACTAGTTCATCTTGCTACTTATGTTCACACTCCCCTTAACTTATTTATCTCTTTCACAACCCTCTGATGACTTATGTTACTGCCTTACTTATGATCTTCACACTCCCTAACTATTTATTCCTCACAACCACATACTATTCTACCCTACTATGTTCACTCACGTCCCCTTTTATATTGATCCTCCAATCCCCTTTCATTTTACTATTCACCCCTTTATCTCCTTAACTATGATTCACACTTCCGTATCTATTTATCTGCTACCACTTCCTCCATGCTTTATTTTTTTTTTATTTTTTTTTTTTTTTTTTACCCTATTTTTTTTTTTTTTTTTTTTTTCTTATGTTCCCACTTGCCCTTCGCTAATTGATTATCCTCACCACCCTTTCATACTATTACTCCTTACTTATGTTTTCACTCACTCCCCTTACTTATTATCCTCTACACCCTCATACTAATTCTTTATACCCTAATCGATGTTCACTACTCCCCTAACTATTTTTTATTTCCTCACAACCCCCCTTTCAACCTATTTAGCTGCTTACTATGTTTCACACTTCCCCTAACTATTATCCGTCACAACCCTATAATATGTCAGCTCCTACTATTGTTCACACTCCCTAACTTTCTCCCTCTTAACCTCGCTCACTATTTACGCTTTACTATGTCACACTCCCCTATACTTTGATTTCCTCACACCCTTATTACTTATACTCATCCTACTATGTTTTCACACTCTCCCTATAACTGCTCCTCTCTCAATCCCCCTTCATTACTATTCCTGCCTTACTATTTGTTCACCTCCCCTAACTATTATTCCTCAAACCCCTTTCTACTTATTTACGGCTGAACTATGTTCGACTCTACGTCCCTAGACTATTATCCTCACAAACCCTTACTACTATTCACCCTATCTTATTGCCTTCACACTCCCCTAATCTGATTCTCCTCAACAACCCACATTACGTATTTCACCATACTAATGTTCACATCTCCCCTAACTATTATCCTCACACCCACATACTATCACCCTTACTATTTTGCACACTCCCTAAAATATTACTCCTCACAACCCCATACTATTCACTGTTCTCTACTATGCTTTCCACACTCCGCCTAACTATTTGTTCCTTCACAAACCCCCATACTATTCACCTACTATGTTCACACTCCTAACTGATTTCTCCTCACAACCCCCGAATACTATGTCACCTCTACTATGTTCACACTCCCCTAAAAACTATTTTATCCTCACACCCCCTATTACGAGTTCATACCCTACTATGCTTTCACACTCCCCTAAACTATTATTCCTACAACCCCCCTAATATTCGCTACTATGTTCACACTCCCCTTAAATTATTGTTATATCCTCACAACCCCTACTTATACTATTACCCCTTTTACTATGTTCACACTCCCCTACACTATTATCCTCACAACCCTCATTACTATTTTACCCTACTATGTTTCACATCTCCCCTTACTATTTTACTCGAACCCACCCTCATACTATTTCACCCTTCGTTATGATTACACACTCCCTAACATATATATCCTCCCAACCAGACCTCATACATTCACCCTGACTATGTTCACACTTCCCCTTACTATTCCTCCTCACCCACCCTTTTCCCATTTTACTTTATTCACGCCTTACTATTGTTTCACACTCCCGCTAACTATTAATCTCCACAACCCTCATTACTATTTCACCCTACTATGTTCACACTCCCTTACTATTCTCCTCACAACCTCATTACTATTCCACCCTTACTATTGTTTACCACTTACCCCTAACTATTTCTCCTTCCCAACCCTCCATACTATTTTACCCTTACTGATTGTTCACACTCCCTAGACTTGTTACTATGTATACTCCTCACATACCTCATACTATTGTTTTACCCTAACTATGTTCAACAGCGCTCCCCTAACTCATTTATCATTCAACAAAACCCTCTACTATTTCACCTTCTTACCTATGTTCACACTCCCCTACCTATTCTCCTCCAACCCCCTCTTTTACTACTTTACCCTACTATTTTTTTTTTTTTTTTGTTCACACTTTCCACCTTCCTATTTCTCCTCACAACCCTCATACTTATTACACCCTTTTACTAGTGTTCCACACTTCCCCCATAACTTATTTTTTTTTTTTATCCTCACAACCACCATTTACTATTTCAACCCTTTTACTATTTGTTCACACTCCCTAACTTATGATTCCTCATAACCCCAATACCTATTTCACCTTACTATGTTCCACAACTCCCCTAACTTTATTAACTTCCTCACACCCTTATACTATTCACCCACTATGTCCACCAATTCCTCCTAACTATTATCCCTCACCACCCACATTACTGATTTCACCCTACTATTTGTGGCACACTCCCCTAACTTTAATTTTATCCTCAACAACCTCATACTATTTTGACGCTTTTTACTATGGTATTTCCACACTTCCCATTTACTATTCTTCTCCCCACCTCATTATATTAATCCACGCCTTACGATTCTTTGTATCGCACATCCCTAACTATTATCTACACATACCTCATACTATTTCACCCTACTATGTTCAACACCCCTAATATTTATTCCTCACACCCTGATACTAATGTTACCCTACTATGTTTCACACTCCCTTAACTTATTTTATACTCCTCAAACGCTCATACTATTTACGGCCTACTGATGTTTCACACCTCCCCTAACTATTCTCCTCTAAACTCGCTCCTTTTACTATTCACCTTTACTATTGTGTCCACACTCCTAAACTATTGATCCTCACAAACCCTCATACTTTTATTCCACCCTACTAGTTTCACAGCTCCCTATAACTATTATTCCTCACAACCCCCATACTATTTAACCCTACTATGTTACACACTCCCCTAACTTTCTCCTCACCAACCCCCATACTATTTTACCCTACTATTTAGTCACACTCCCCTAACTATTATTCCTCACAACCCCTTCTATTCCACCCCACTTATGTTTTCACACTCCCCTAAACTTTCTCCTCATTAACCCTCATACCTATTTATTCACCTACTATGATTCACACTCCCGCTTACTTTATCCTCACAATCCCTCATTTACTTATATTTTACCCTACTATTGTTACACACTCCCCTAACTATTATTCCTCACAACCCTCATACTTATTCACCCTACTATGGTTAACACTCCCCTTTACTATTAATCCTCACCAAACCACCCCCAATACTATTCAACCCTACTATGTTCACCCACTCCCCTAACTATCTTCCTCACAACCCACATTACTATTCACCTTACTATTGTTACACCACTCCCCTCAACTTATTATCCTCACAACCCCCATACGATTTACCCACGCCTGTACTATGTTTTCACATCCCGCTTACTATTCTCTTCACAACCCTCGAATTACTATTTCCACCCTACTATGTTTTCACACTCCCCTTTACTATTGTACTCTCACAACCCATTACTATTCACCCTACTATGTTTCACACTCCCTAAAATATTCATCCTCACAAAAACCCTCATACTAATTTACACCATACTTATGTCACACTTCCCTTAAATATTCTTCTTCACAACCCCTCATACTATTCACACCTTTACTATGGTTTTCCACATTATCCCTAAACTATTTTTCTTCTCACAAACCCTCATTACTATTTTACCCTTACTATGTTCACACTCCTAAGCTATTATCCTCAACCCTCATTACTATTCCACCCTTACTATGTGTTTCACAACTTCCCCTAATAGCTCTTCACAACCCCCATTTACTATTCACCCTTACTTATGTTTCGACACTCCCTAACTATTATACCTTCACAGAACCCCCGATACTATGTTAACCTACTCATTGTTTTCCTCTCCCTAAACTTTATCCTCACAACCCATTACTATTTCACCCTACTATGTTCACACTCCCCTAACTATTATCCTCACAACCCTCATACTATTCACCCTACTATGTTCACACTCCCCTAACTATTATCCTCACAACCCTCATACTATTCACCCTACTATGTTCACACTCCCCTAACTATTCTCCTCATAACCCTCATACTATTTACCCTACTATGTTCACACTCCCCTTACTATTCTCCTCACAACACCCATACTATTCACACTACTACATCCCATCGCCTCTCCCATTCACACACTCCTGCTCAGAAAACAACCGACAGTTCTCGCCAGCCACAATACCGGCGGCAGGCTTCTTCCAATATAGACTGGCGCACGACGTCGCTTACCTTTGACAGCGGCCGGTTCCTTGGCGGGACTGTCGAAGCCGCCGAACGTCTCGGCGCGCTTGGGCAGCGCGGGACTGATGTAGACGCAGCTTTCGTATTCGGCTGCGCTGCTGGCGCTGCGGTAGAGACCCGAGCCGCCGGTGAGCGCAGCCGACATGTGCGTCACTGCAGCACAAGCGAAACCATGGCGACCGTTAGTTGCGCGCGTGTTTGCCGCCGCCGCCCACAGGCACTTGGAACGTCTCAATAAAAAAAAGGTAAATAAACACGAAATGTGTTTACTACCAAAGTCTTAATGTTTCTCTACTCTATTTCGCCTATAATCACCTGTAAATACCGCTCAAATGCTCATCTGCAACACACTAGTACACCGCACGCCCGCCATGTGCACAAACAACATGAATAAGAGAGCTCCAAGAGAGCTCATATGAAACCTCTCTTATTCATGTTGTTTGTGCACATGGCGGGCGTGCGGTGTACTTGTGTGTTGCAGATGAGCATTTGACCGGCATTTACAGGTGATTATAGGCGAAATAGAGTAGAGAAACATTGAGACTTTGGTAGTAAATACATTTCGTGTTTATTTACCATTATTTTTTTTTATTGAGACGTTCCAAGTGCCTGTGCCGCCGCCGCTGTCTGACTGTCTCTCATCACTCTCTCTTTCTTTCTCTCTCTCACTCTCTCGCGCGCGATTTCTCTTTCTCTCTCGTGCTCTCTCTCTCTCTCTCTCTCTCTCTCTTTCTCTCTCTCACGCGCGCGCTCTCTTTCTACAGCTAGCTACACGCACCCTCCTAACAGTAGAGCTACGTGAGTAACTACATGTATACGTGAGTATATACACAGACACTTGGGCCGTTTCAATAATAAAATGATGGTTAATAAATACAACTTGTCAGTACTAGACCTAGCTACCAGTACCAGTAATAGTCTTAATGTTTGATTTGACCTAATAACTTCACTTCAATACCGTCCAATACACTGCTGCAACACACATTCCTATAGCGTGCACGCCATTGGGCACAAATACACAGTAATATAGAGTAATATAGTATGTAGTAATAGTATAATTATAGTATATAGTAATAGAGTATATACAGTAATATAGCTCTATATTACTGTGTATTTGTGCACAATGGCGTGCGCGCTATAGGAATGTGTGTTGCAGCGGTGTATTGCCACTATTGGACGGTATTGAAGTGAAGTTATTAGGTAAAATCAAACATTAAGACTATTACTGGTACTGGTAGGTCTAGTATTAACATGTTGTATTTATTAACAATCATTTTATTATTGAAGTGGCCCAAGTGCCTGTGAGTATATAGTAGGTAACTACACGCACCCTCCTATGTGAGTAACTACATGTATACCTGAGTATATAGTAGGTAACTACACGCACCCTCTTAACAGTAATGATAAGTGAGTATACTAGTAGGTATACGCACCCTCCAGCAGCAGCTGGTGAGAGATCTCCTTGACGTCAAGCTTGCGTGCGTCGTCATCGCTGGAGTAGGTCCAGCCGACGAGCTTGACGGCATCGGCGCGTCCGACAGCCTCCAGCATGCGCTCCACGAGCTTCACTCGCTCGTCGCAGATGACGGCGATCGCACGATCCTTCCTCGAAAGCTCCTCTGTGAACGCAGCAAAGGTATACGCAGCGGTTAGGTTACGACGAGAAAGACTAGTGCACTTCTCACGGTTCCTTTTAATTAAAATTTACGGGTGAAGGTCGCACGTTTTATTTTTATTTAACCGGATTGATAAATCATCGGAATTTAATGTTCGCAAAGTACGACGCTTAATGGAAGGTTGGTGTGTTATCGGCTGTAGTGCCTGGTAAGAGCTGCGAGCAGGGAGGACTGTTATTTATCGGGTGTAGTGCCTGGTAAGAGCTGCGAGCAGGGAGGACTGTTATTTATCGGCTGTAGTGCCCGGTAAGAGCTGCGAGCAGGGAGGACT